GTTCTCTGGTCCACAGGTCGCAGGACCAGGCAGTGTTCCGTTCTCTGGTCCACAGGTCGCAGGACCAGGCAGTGTTCCGTTCTGGGGTCCACAGGGTCGAGTGGAGTCGGACAGACTGGACAGCGCCCAACCACAGCAGGGCGACACTACTGGAGGAGGAGATGGCGGAGGAGGCAGGCCGAGGACCGACACGTACCCACAAAGACTAGTTTTTTAATTGTAATAAATATAGCCCTGGCATGCCCAAGGGTACAGCCAAGGAAGCCCTACAGAGCAGGTCTACCCTTTAACACACGAGTGGCCTTGTGTTGGAATGTGCTCCAGGACAACTAATAACGACGCACGCACACAGCACTTGTTGCCGCCTCAACATCATTTTTGGGTAGTCAGTCAGACAACGTGTGCCCGCCCTGCTGTACAACCGTCACCACTGTGCATTCCCTTCGCCCTCAGCCGGGGATGCACACGTTAAACGGCATCATTTGTGGTGAGGTGTTTAGAAAACCAAGTTATAGGCCGTGCTTCAAGGACTTCGCCTGCCTCTTTGTGGTCCCTCATTCCCTTTCTCTTTTGTGATCTCACCTGCCCGTGTTCCTATCTGCTAGTCTCCCTCCACAGCTCTGGGGGAGAGGCCTTGTCTCCTTTGCTCAAGTCCCCAGAAGCCAGCAATGGAGGAGGAGCAAGTGGAGCCGACCTTATCCACCAGCGTGATTGCTGGAAACAAGCCTGCGCGCCCCTGGAGCCCCAGCCAGGAAGCTGCAGTGGATGAACTGGAAAACTAAGCCTTTGTTCTTGGTCGCCTGGCAGAACATCTATCTCTTCAGGTGTTTCCCACCACCAGAGGGTAGCATCATAGAGAAATGGGGACAATCCAAGCTTCCACGGCCCATGGCAGGAGCGTGGAAGGAATGCCAAGAAAATGGCCATGCCTCAGCTCATTCCTCCACTCCTCAACTCACCCCATTTGGTGAGAACAGCCTGGATCCTACGGGAAACCCTCATACAGACGGGTGCATGCACGTGTTCAGAGCACATGTACACGCCCCTGTGTAGACATGTGCACCTGTAGAGTGTGTGTGTGTGTGTGTGAATCTCAACAGCCACCAAGAAGCACAGACTGGCCTCCTCTGTCCCGCCATGGGATCGGACAAAAGCAAAGGGTCAGAGGGACTCTGCCAAGCACAGGGAGGGGACTGGGTGGGGGGTTGGCTCCGGGCCTTTGGGCTGCATGGGGTTTCATGAGAACAGCGGCGCTGGCTCGCAATGGCCTAACTTTTGGTCTAGGCTCCACCCTCACAGCTGAGTGGATATGTGCTGCCCCCTTTGTGCACTCTGCTTCTCTCTTCTGCAAAGTATTGTTGATAATCCCTAGCCAAGAAGAGACTGCATAAAACAACTGAGGTGAAAGTGAGACTTATATTGATTATGGTGGGGACAGAGCAGGGCAGGATTAAGAACAGCTTTAGTTTCTGTGATCATTTTTATATTATCCAAATTTTTACCTAAGACATATCATTGTTTTAAGTACAGCACTAAATGGATTGAAATTTCTGTTCCATGACTGTGGTCGTTATATAATCCGGTGTCAACTTGAGACTATTAAGAGGGAAGGGGTGGAGTCTAGCCTGTCAATCAAGTCGCAGCTTGATGACCTCATTTTGGAGGCATGATGGAACTAAATAGCTCACTGAGGCCAGACACACTCTCTGCTTC